CTATTTTATTTTGTGATTATGAAACTTGCCGGGAGGTTTGGTTTTTGATTTCGGAGTGAAATGGGACACAAAGTCCCTAAAATGGAAGTTTAAGTCGTAGAAATTGACCGTAGTTTAATTTGTGTGAAGACGACTCCGAAATGGAGTTTTGATGGTTCCAGTAGCTCCGTAGGGTGATTTTGATCCTAGGAGCGTGTCCGGATATTGATTTGGAGGTCCGTAGGTCATTTCGGCATTAATTGGCGAAAGTTGGAAAGTTGGATGATTTTTGGAATGTTTGACCGGTAGTGGACTTTTAATATTGGGGTCGGATTCCGACTCCGGAAGTTGGATTAGGTTTGTAATATAAATTATTACTTGTGTGCAGAATTTGAGGTCGATCGGACTTGATTTGATAGGTTTCGGCATCTGATGTAGAAGTATGAAGTTCTAAAGTTCATTAAGCTTGAACTGGGATGCGATTCATGGTTTTAGCATTGTTTGATGTTATTTGAAGGCTCGACTAGGTTCTTATGATGTTTTAGCACTTGTTGGTATTACTGGTTGAGGTCTCGGGGGCCTCGGGTGTGATTCAGACCATGTTCGGCGCTTTTCGGATCATTGCGGAGTTGCTGAAATCTGGTGTTTTATTTCCTCTTACGCGATCGCACGTATGAATACACTATCGCAGGTATGAATACGCTATCGCGAAGTTGTTTGGGCAAGTGAATCGTGAACGCGTGGCCTTTGCCGTGTTCGCAGTGATGAAGGGAGGACCTGGGCAGTGGAATGATTTACTCTAAGCGGTCGTGTGTGGTGTTACGCGATCGCGTAGCTTGGCATGGCAGTGGATCGCGTTCGCATAGCAGCTTTCGAGTTTGCGTAGTATGTTTTTGAATTGATAGCAATTTTGTTCTACGCGATCACATGTGTATTTCTGCGACCGCGTAGTGTAAACACCTGGGCAGCAGTATTAATTTTCAAATGAGGGTTTGAACCCATTTTTCATATTTTTGAGCTAGAGACCTCGAATTTGGGCGATTCTTGAAGGGATTTTCAAGGAGTTAATTGGGGTAAGTGATTCTTACTTAGTTTTAGATAAATTTCATGTTTGTCTTTGATTTAATCATTTAATTAGTGATTTGGGGTAAAAGAATGGGGGGAAATGGAGGAAAGTTCTTAGGCCGAATTGTGAGGTGTTGATTGAGATTTTGGTATCGGATTTGAGTAATTTTGGCATGGGTGAACTCGTGGTTGAATAGGTGTTCGGATTTTGTGACCTTTACCCGATTTCGAGACGTGGGCCCGGGTCGACGCTTTGGGGCAATTTTTTAATTCTTTGCTAAAGTTGTAGTTCCATTATTTAAATTAGTTTCTTATAGTTATATTTATAGTATATAATTGTTTTGGCTAGATTTGGGCCGTTCGGAGTCGGAAAGTCGAGGGAAATGCATTCTTATTGACTGATTGAGCTTGGTTTGAGGTAAGTGACTTGTCTAACCTTGTGTGGGGGGAAACTCCTCTTAGGTTTGGTACTGTTATGGTATTTGCAATACGTGAAGTCCGTGTACGCGAGGTGACGAGTGCGTACTCGGGTTAAATGTTAAAATTTCAATTCTTGCTAAATAGTTTCCTTTTTAATTCCTTAACTGAGTTACTCTAGCATGTGTAGTCATCATGTTTAGCCTAATGTCACATGTCTACGTGTCTTACCTCTTACTTGCATTTTGTGCAACATGCTTAGTTGGATTTCCTGCTTCCTTGATCTTGTATTCAGCTTTTAACTGTAGGATTTCTTACTGTAATTTTTCTGTCCAATCGGTTATCTGTTGCATATATATTTTGGGACTATGAGGCGGTACCTCGGGAGCACCCCTGTTATGTATTTACTTTTGAGACTACGAGGCGGTACCTCGGGAGCGCCCCTATTGCATATTTACTTTTGGGACTACGAGGCAGTACCACGGGAGCACCCCTGTTGCATATTTACTTTTGGGACTACGAGGCGGTACCTCAGGAGTGCCCCTGCTGTGTATTTACTTTTGGGACTACGAGGCGGTACCTCAGGAGTGCCCCTGCTGTGTATTTACTTTTGGGACTACGAGGCGGTACCTCGGGAGCGCCCCTGCTGTTTACCTCTATTTGCTGTGTTGTTATCTTTCTGTAATTTCTCATTGTTCACTTCTCAGTCATTTCATTATATTATTATATCTTTTGTCTTGTTTCCTATTATTTTTCAGTAGGGCCCTGACCTGACCTCGTCACTACTCCACTGAGATTAGGCTTGGCACTTACTGGGTATCTCTGTGGTGTACTCATACTACTCTTATGCACATCTTTTTGTGCAAACCCAGGTTCTTCCTTCCAGACCAGGTATTAGTGAGCTAGCCTATGCGCGGAGACTTCAAGGTATATCTATCAGCGTCCGCAGACCTCGGAGTCCCCCTCTATCCTTATTATGTTATTTTTCTTATTTTCATTAGATTCTGATGTATAGAGATATTTAGTATTTTTCGCTTTAGAGCTTGTGACTTATTTCTACCTGATTTTGGGAGTTGTAACTATTTTGAATCACAGTTTTTATTTATTTCAGATGATGAGGTTTGAGTTTCAACTTTATATTTAGTTATTCCGCAAAATTATTAGGCTTACCTAGTCTTAGAGAATAGGTGCCATCACGACATCCTACGGAGGGAAATTGGGGTCGTAACATTAATATATCCTTACATATTTCACTTGACATTGTTAATACTTGTCTCATCTCTTACTTGTTATTTTCCCTTACATGCTTAGTTGAAGTTGTTGTTTTCTCATTTCCTTGTTAAATACTTAACTGTTGAGTTACCTTACTTGATGTTGTTATTTCTTGGAATATCTTGTTGTTGAGTTTTGGTGTTGAAGTTGTAAAAGCCGTGATCACATTAAGGCAAAGTTGTAAATTATTGAAATACAATTCTTGTTGAGTTATTCACTTTTGGTTGCCATTGTTCAAACTCTTGTACATATTGTGGTTGAGCCATGGGCTATTTATTGTGAAAATATTATTATTGTTGACTTCTTTGGTAAGTTGTGGTATTGGGCACTTGAGGTGTGATTTGTGATATGTTGTGTTATTAATACGCGTGTGTTGGTATAGGGGTTGATATGCATGCGTTGAGATAAGGTGGGCTTGATACGTGTGTTGCTAGTAGGGGTACTACTTAAAGCCATGCAGTGTGATAAGGTGGGCTAAAACGCTGGTAGCTATTTCGGAAAAATGATTATAAAAACTAAATGCAAGGCTCCCGCGGTGGTATAAGGAAAGATCGTGATTTTGATTGTGAATAAGACTGCGAGGCGGTACCTCGGTAGTGATTCGTGTTGCTATCTTTCATTTGCATCACTTGAGTTAGTCTGCATCATTTCCTTGGCATTCTTGTTATGTGTTTCTCCCGTGATGTCTTTATTGCCTTAACTTCAGTGTAGCTATTCTTGTTATATTTCTTCATTGTATCATTTTCATTGTTTCCATTATTATATTGTACTATACCTGTTTAGTTTCTTTATTTATTCTAGTAGGTGTCTTGACCTGACCTCGTCACTGCTCTATCGAGGTTAGGCTTAATACTTGTTGGGTACCGTTGTGGTGTAGTCATACTACGCTTCTGCATATCTATTTGTGTATATCCAGGTACTTCATACTAGCCTAGGCATCCATGAGTTGAGCATGGATCGGAGACTTCATAGTATACCTGCCGACATTCGCAGGCCTCGGAGTCACCCTCTATCTTAGTTTCTATTTCATTCTCCTTTTATAGATACTGATGTATTAGGGATGTTTCAGAATACTCGTGTAGAGCTTATGACTTGATCTTACCATATTTTGGGCGTTATTTTCAGTTGTGTTGTGGAGTCCTTTTTATGATAGTTGTTGGTTTAATAGGAAGCTTTATTATTATCTCTGTAATCCTTCATGTATATTAGGCTCACCTAGTCTTAGAGACTAGGTGCTATCACGACATCCTACGGAGGGAGATTTGGGGTCATGACACCGTATCTGCATCAAAATCTATTCAATAAATCTATCCACTATACAATATCCACACCCCAATGTTATCACAGTCCGTCACTGGGACAATCTCAGAATAATGTCTAGATCACACATCGTTTTTATCCTCGAACATTTGTCTTCCACTCCATGAAGCTGCGATTCATAAGTAGTACTCAATCTTCCTGAAATACACGCGACCTAATTCTCGTGCAACCCGAGATATGTAGGCAACTCAAATACCAGAGTTCGGTCACAACCTTTAAAATATCCACATTCCCTACTCTGTCATGTCGGGACAAAATTGAGTATATCGTCTATATCTTTGCCCGATATTCTTACATCATCTCCGGTCAACGAGGGGCAGCTGTTGACACTCAATTTTGACCCTTCATATTTTAAAATTAACTTTTATAGGCTTCCTAGTAAAAAATAATAAAATATAGTTTTTTGCACGTTATTTAGCTTTAATGCAATTTATTGATAATGATTCTTATTTTTGCAAAATTTAAATTTTTTTATCATTTTATTGCATTTGGTTAAATACTGCCATTTTTGTGCATTTTTCTAAATTTAAAATAATCTATTGATAATTGTCTTGTTTTTAAACTACTAGGATTATTCTATCAATTTATTATTCAAAAATAAATAAATAATAAATACTACAATATTATTGTTGTAATTGATATTTTTAATAAATATTACAGGTAGTATTTTTAAATTAAATAATCATCTTTTAGTTTGTAGCATGGTCTATTGATTATACGGAATCCAGTATAATTCACTTTTAAATACGGGTCAAGTCCAATCAAATTCAATGTCCCGTCTATATTTGATGTGACATTTGATATGACTAGATATTTGAGATGACAATATATATGACGTGACAAGTCATATTGATGAGACGCGTCATGTTGAGGTGACATTTTTACCCAATAGGTAAAAACCCACCATAATATCTCCATCCAAACCCTTATAAAATAACCTACCACCCCTCATTTTCCTTACCATCATCCGCCTATTACCCCCCCAAACCCTACAGACCTATCATGTTCTCTCAAGTCTCAAGAAAGAGACCAAGCAGCCGCACACCCCATCTTCGTTTCTTAATCTCTAATTTTTGAGAGACCAAGGTTGCTCCTTCTCGTTTCTTACAATGCCACCGGTGATGGCTCTCTATCCCTTGTCCTGGCTGCCGCTTCTCCAGCCCTTTCTTCCCTTCGCCACCTGCTTTTACCACCGGTGATGGCCGGCGACTGCAACACCACCTCTGCTCCGCCACTGCTTGTCTTCTTCGTCTCCCCTTCCCCCTTCTCCTAACTTGATGTTAATTTTCGTTTTTTTTCAGGTTTTAGACTCGCCGGAAAATAAATAGATCTAGCCGGAAATGTTATTTCCCGGCAAAATGCTGCCTTTTTGTACATCTACCTTCTATTTCTGTCAGATCTAAAGGGGAACGAAAAGATAACTAAAAATTCGCTTCGTCGGAGTTCGTCGGAATCTAGACGGAGAACATTTTCTCCCATGATAGGTGCGTGTTTTGTTTATTGCCGCCTTAGTCCATGACTGTTTCATTTTCCATCCACTCGTCGGTTATATTTTGTTATTTCAATTTTGTTTACATCATTGTTTCTTACCACTGATGTTTGGGATTAGAAGGCCGTCGTTTGGCCTCTCGTTACTGATATGTGTAAAGTTTTGTGACTGTTAGCTCTGTCGTAACTTCCTTTTTCGGCGACTGTTCGTTCTTGGATGGTACTGCTTTGGTATTGCATATCCTCTTCTATGTTGGTTGCTCTTGGACTTGATTTCAATATTCTTCCATCCTTGCCTATGATTTGTTTGTCATTTTGAGGCTCCTCTGGCAGAACACTACTGGAATTGGATTGAATTTGTGCCAAACAGATTATTGTCCAAGTAGCACTGTTGCTTCACCAGTGCTGGTTCAACAGTAAAGATCGTTGGTTTTTGCTACACTAAATACCGATGAAAAAATGTTTTACGAATTATTGAGGCCGCGCCCCTCGGATGTACCCTCCAGACTGGGCCCTAATATAACGAGGTGATGACGATAACTTATCAAAAAAAAAAAAGAAAGACATAAACATGGCGAACCAATAACCTTTGGAGGGCGACACAACTAGCTATCAAGGTTCCCATTCTCATGTCTAGACGGGACAAAAATACAATCTGAGCCTTCTATTTTATTTTTTAAATTATTTTCCAAAAACATTTCAAATCATTTTCAAAAAACAATTTTTTAAAACATTTTCAAACCAAAATTATTTCAAAAATTTAACTTTAATAACTTATTTTCACATCACATTAGTTTACTAACATTTTCTTCGTTCTTTGCAAGGTACCCTAACAATGAACTCGAAGATGAAAAGACAAATCTCTGTCAAGCTCCCCGCTTCGCACTTTTTATTCTAGGATGTACCCTAAAATAAATACATGCTTAGAACAAATTCATGATAGCTACCCCTTTTTTATGAAATGACATTCAACATGATTAGTTTGCATATAGTTGTGCACGGATAGTTGCTTTCTTGTGGGATTCTCTAAAAGTCCGAAATATTTTATATGTTGTACATCCATTAGATTTAGTTGAGTATAACCCATTGTGTTTGTCTATGATTCTTGACTGATTATTTGTTGGTCATGCATTTGTTATAAGATTCATTTATCATTATTTACAAGACCATCCCAAAACAAATATTCTTTCACATACTCTATTCCAAAGTTGTTAATTTCAAGTCGACTCTAGCAGGTTTACTCCTTGATTCTATCCCCATCCAAATATTTTTGTTTGTCAAAATATAGCCTTTTGTGCTTCATTAATTAAAACGCATACCTTCTTCAAAACTTCAGCCATTCTCACATATCTTGTCTACTTTTTTGTGTATATTTAATTACATATTTTATTTCGAGTCTTATGTTTTACTGTGAATAGATATCATCCTTTACTCATCAAAATAATCCTTTCACTTTGTTTACCGTAATTCTTTTAAGACAATTCTTTCCCACTCTTTGGTAAAATATTTTGGAGTAAGTTTTCATTCTTTATATTTAGTCTCCCATTCAAAATAGTTAACTTTTACACATAAATTAAATTTTTTCAAGTGTATTCTTTTAATTAAAATTCATTTAGCCAAGTTACAAAATACTCAGCTCATTACTGCATATTCTTTACATTTTATTAAAATCATCAAAACATGGTCTTTTCTTATATTTTGTCCATACTCATTATATGTAATTTATTTACATTTATTATGCAACATTCATACTTAGGCACTTTTCCTCTTTTGTACTAATTTCCTCTTTTTGTAAATATCAAAATAATTATTCTTTTGAACCTTCCCTCCTCGATTTGATCGAGTCCATCGGAATCACATTTTGTGAATCTTGGGGGATGCCTAACACTAGCCCCTAGATAATTTGAAACCTTAACTAGAATCTCAATGGTTTCACAGATTATTATTAAAGTATATATTACATAGTGTAGTATAGTGTCACGTCCCAAAACACAAGGAGCACGACCGACGCTTAATCGAGTGAACCCGGCCGAGCAAGCCAGTTAGATTTTCTTCTAACCAAACTCATCCATGAATAAGGAGGAGATGTACTCCATTAATCAAACATTTAAAATATTTTATTAACAACTCCCGTTTCATATTCATTAGCAACTTCATTCATAATTTTTAAAGTATTACAAGTTTATAGATATAATGATAATGTGTTTGCCAAATACCAACAGTTCTAGTTCCATTCCCCACATTAAACATCACCCACAACCTGTCTACGAAGCCTCTAAGTACAATATAAGAGTAATATGAAAATGCCGACAATAAGGCCTCGGCTATACCTTAAAATGCAGTACATGAAAAACAAAAGATACATGATCCCGAAATGAAGTGGGGCTCACCAAATCAGCTGAAAAGAGTACTGCTATCACTGATCAATGCTGCATGTTGTAGAACCACCTGCATCCATTAAAGATGCAGCGCCCCCGGCAAAAGAGACGTTAATACTGTCGAATAGTACTAGTATGTAAAGCTAAAAGTCCTCTTTCAAAATAGAATAACCATGTAAGAAAAGACAACACATAGAAATGGCAAGTCACAATCAACAATATCTAAATGTTCATTTAAAACATAATAATTTTTAAAATATGAACTTCATATACAATTTTTGGTTGGGAGATCATTAGCACAAATATGCCACCGTCTGTGTTAGCACGGCGTCCGATCACGCCCGATCGGCTAGGCCATCTTCCCACGAACGATGTGGTTCGATGAGTGATGCGAAAGAAAGTTGTTACCAAGAATAGTACCATCATGTGCACAATATGGCGTCCGATCTACACCGGATCAGCTAGGCCGCCTTTCCACATATGCCATGTGGGTTGACTTTTCCAATCCACAATTGTTATTAGTTTCATCCCAATTAAGGGGAATAATATCACAATTTCTCCAATATTTCAATTTCATCCCAAATAAGGGGAATAATCACAATCCATCCCTACACCGGCACGTGTAGTTTCAGGCGTGGGCCTTATGACCCACCCCTCCTTGATTTTGCTAATGATACTCCCAAAACTATTTTGCTTATTTGATTTGCACCCAAAGGTAACATAAATAAAATTGTTCTCATCTCAACATCTTTCACATTGTATAAATTCTCATTAGTATTTTCAGTCACTTACAACAACAATATTTTCTTCACTCATTTGGCCATTCACAAGATTCTTTATTTCTGGCACGGTGGCCGTATTTCATGTTCCACAGTTTTACCTTTTTTATTTTCAAGGACCACCATCAAATATTAACATACAGAATATTTCAGAAATCATATACTTCAAATCCATTTGTAATGGGAACTTTAAACAAAAAAAATATTTTTTCCCAAAGAATAGGGCATACCAACCAGCTATAGAAATACACATCAAATTCATAAACAATCAATACACAATTTATTCTTGCAATACTCTTCCCCAGAAATGACAATGTATAAATTTAACCCATGAGTATGTAAGAATTCGAATCACACTGAATATATTTATAAAGCAAAGCATTAGTTAAAACAGCCACTTATGGGCATGAATTGAATACAAAAGCTTTTAGGCAATTCTATTTTCGAAATCATTTTTTTTAAACAATTGAGTCGAGGCTCATTTCATATTCTTTATCGCATCCACTCAAATCATTTTCACTACTAGCCACAATCATAACTTAAATTCTTGGCATATTGGCAACACTCTATATCCCCAATTCACTTATTTCACTTCCAACTATCTTTATAAATTATCAATACTAAGACATTTTCAATCAAGATTTTAAGTACACGTATGAGCAATTAAGAGTCTTAAGAATATTGAGATTTTCTAAAACATTTTGGCATCATAACTTTCATGTGGAACACGACTCAAAGACATAGCATTTTAATACACAAACAATACTTTGAACATCTATATTTTGATATAAGGCTCATTCGGAATAATCAAGTTTATAGGGAATAACCCGGAATATAGAAGTTAAGAATCTTGAGTGAATCATACTTGATCTTAAGGAAACAATATAGAATTCGATTCTAAGAGAGAAAGTTTAGCCAACATACCTCAAATTCGTCCCTTAATGATACTACAGTGATCCACTACACTAAGCAACTTCAACCTACAATAACAACATCCAATGAAACCAGTATTAGTAACAATAGGCATGAATCTTTAGGCATTTTATCAAACACCTAGTAGGCATGAATCTCTACATCTCTTATCCATAGAATTAGTTTATCCAACTACTACCATTTAGCAACAATTTATCCCACCAGCATTCTTAAACAATTCATAACTTCTAACATCACATACATGACCATCCATCCACACCCAACCAACAAAATTTCATCAAATAATCACCTTTCAATCTCTATAATGGATATGTATTTAAATTTGGAACTTATGGCTTCCAATAACCATACCATAAGTTCCAATACATAATTCATACTCATATTCCCATAATATATTCATACGTGTAAGTCTAAGGGTGTAGGATTACCTTTTGGAAGAAATTTTGCAAAACCCTCCTTTGAGTTCTTGAAGAAATTTCTTGATGATCTATGTATTTTATGGAGGATTGAGTTAGTTTTAGGATGAAATTGATGGAATGAAACACAAAATTAGTAGGGATTACTCACCTTGAAGATTGGGAGAGTTGGAGGTCTTGAGAGAGTGGAGGAAGACCCCAAATTGCGGCCAAGAGAAATGGGGTAAAATGAACCCCGAATGAGTATATAGTGTTTTTGGGCGCCATAGGTGGCGTGGGGCGCTGTCTGTGGCACTGGTTCCAGAACCTCAAGATTCCCGGCAACAGGGATAGCTCCCTACTCTACTCTAGGCGCTGATGATGGGAAAATGGGAATAACTCTCTCATACGATGTCTGAATTCGACGATGTTTTTTGCTATGGCTCCGTAATTTCAATACGGATCTAATTCTTTAATCGAAGCTGAATTTGGAGCTCATTTACTTAATATGATACCACTTATACCCGAAGAAATGACATCGTTGAAACACTTATGATGTCCAAATAATGTTGTTCCACCCCATAGGTCTCATTTGATACTCGAATACGTTATTCCCGAATACCGTTATTCCCGAATGGGGCCTTACATTCTCCCCCACTTAAGATCATTCATCCTCGAATGAGGGTTAGAATCNTCAGCAGCACTAATCTCAATATTGTAGGCATTATATTATCAAAAGTGACACCTGACCATGAGCTGCACATATTTAAATCGTAACACAAAGAAAGTAACTTTTGATCCACAATCATTTGATTATGCACTCAAGTGAGAACATTTTATTCCCTTAACAATTTCGGACATTGAGGTGGCCTCTTCAACTCAAAGACTTCGCCATAACACACGACGGAGGCGATCTCAACTTTTGGACTTATCTAACAAGGATGGCAAATAGATACCCCTCATAATCCAATTATCCATTAACTTGACCTTCACTAGCTTTCACCGGAATGATAGACAGAGGATTTACATCCACCTCCTTAGACATAGTCACACGAAACATCGGGTACACGGAGGACAATAATAGGAAACATCATACTTATAGTTTGGCCTATTCTGTTCAAGATTTTGTATGGCCTAATGTGACTACACATTCTTTACCTTCCTTAACAATTCACCTAATATATTCATACCGAAAATCTTAGGTATATCCCGTTCACTTTCTTCGACTCTAAATCCATATGCCGAATACACAAACTAAACTTTTGGGGACCTCCAACAATTACTCTAAGGTGTGCTAGCTTGAATATGACAATAAAAATTCCTATCCAATATAGTTGATCACGGGTTAATGCTTCTTCTTTGACATGTTTGAACCGTCAACCCCCATAGGTTACTATAAATAGGAACAACGAGGTTAGAGATTAGGTTGGAATGTTTTAACAATGCATCAATGTGATGAGCAGGGCATTTCAGGAGGTTATATCCTAAGAGACATGAAGGTTACTACCAATAGTGATGACATGGTTAATAATTATGATGACATCATTGATTCGACAAATGAGGCATGAGTTGTCTAGTAGGCATTGATAATGTAGGGACCATGTTCATGATTCTAATATTTAAAAGAAATGAGTCATTTTAGACATGTGACATATAGGAGGAGTGGTCGGGAGGAT